GGCGAGCCCCGGGCAAGCGCCGGCCCCGGGCAAGCGGGGCCGCTGAGCCACGGGCAGGGAAGGGAACGCCGCTTCCAGCCGCCCCTCGCCGGCGCAGGGCCACTCGCTGCGCTGCCAGCAGCGCCCGGCAGCTCCGAGCAACGCAGACATGCATCCTCTGGGTGTGTTTTTAAACTAATTGGTTTCGTTTCTGGAGCGGAGCTGGTGGCGAGCACGGTGTTTTTCTCGACCCGTCTCCAGGTGTGTAGCCGAGGTGGAGCTCACAGCCCCTCTCCTTCCCACCATGGCTCTGTCCTGCACATTGAGGCTACCGCACCGGCAACTTCGCCCTTCGTGTGCTTTCCTGAGCAGCCTGCCCAGTCGGGACCGCAGCCTGCTGACGGAGAAGAAGACAGCGGCAAAGTGGAAGGAGAAGCAAAAGGCCAGGGAGGGCTGCAGCCTGCCGGGTTCCTCCTGGGAGGAGAGGTACCGCTCCTCCAAAATGACCAAGCACCCTTCCAAAGCACCGAGCGCCTGAAGTGTTTAGAGCAGCGGAGCAGGGGTTTCACCTCCACCCAGCTCTTCCCAGTAGAAGAGCCAGGGTTCAGCTGGCTTCCCTGGAGCTTGGCCTGGGGATAGGAATAATGGAAAAGACAAAGGAAAAGGTCTAAGAGGAAAGGATCAGAGCAGTTGCCATACCAGCAAGCAAAAAGTTAGCAAGTCGGTAATACCCTGCCTGCTACACACAAACTGTGCATTTCACTGTGGTGGATTTAATCTAGCACAGCATTAGCAAAAAAGATGTAGTAGTGGCTGGAAATGTGAGCTGGTAGGTGATGCAGGATGGATGCATTGAGTCAGGAGAGAAGCATCTTGCTCTTCTAGGGAAAAACTCCAGGGAGACAGGACTTAGGCTGTCCTTGGAGCAGCAAGGGATGGCCAAAGCCTCTGATTCAGTGGGAGAAAGCAAGAGAGCCCATCTGAAGCTACAATGTGATCTCTTTTTTTTCCCCTTCTCTTCCTGCACTTTGTTGTTTTGTTTGGGTTTTGGTTTTGTTTGTTTTTTTTTTTTCCCCTCTGACCCCAGTAACATTTGAATACTCATTCCCCTGGCTTTACCAGGCTGGAGTCAGATGTCACCAAGGGCTCGGCAGGGCCTCTCAGTCCCTGTGCTGGGAAAACGCTGTTCCTGGCCCTGTCCTCTAATGGGGGATCAGAAAGACACCTGGGTTACCCAGGACACCCAGGCATCGCTGGTCCATCTTATGCCAAAGGCTCAGCCTGTCCTCTGAAGAACTGGTCGTTGTGGTTCCTGGGTCCGTCTTCCAGCCTCAAGTATTCAGCACCAGGAAGGTGCCGTGAAGAGGGAGTTAGGATGTTCACAGCCTGCTCTGGTGCAGAGCCTGTACCAGAACAGCCTGGCCCATGAAGCAGCTGGTGGGGATGTTATGCCATAAGTATCAGGAGGTGAGTAGCTCTGGCCACTACAGTGATGATGTGCTTTCCAGGTTAGCAAACGTGGCAACTCCACTGTGGAGACTTCCCTATCAAGAGCAGCTGCAGGTAAGATGTGCTTACGTGGACTATTCTCTGTTGTGCTGCCCCAACTGTCCCTCCTATCTCCCTTGAGCAACAGCCCCTAGCATCTTAGTCGCTTAATGCTGTAAACTCTTCAGACCCCATTTACTGCTGCTTTAATTCTTCAGTTATTGTGAAGGATAGAACTGGGAAGCTCCCTGTGGGTGGTGTGTGTGGTCACCAGCAGCACAGAGGATGGGCTCTCGCACAGTGATCCTGTCCAGTGCGGGACAGCTGGTTCAGTGGGGCTTCAGGTTGGACCAAGTGCTTTGGGCCAGCGCTTGGGGACCACAGACACAGGATTTCTCTCTCTCACCGTTGCTCCAAGCGGCTGTGGTGATGAGAAAGGCAGAGTTCCTCTAGGGCTATATCCCACTTGCAGTATTCCCGCCTGTTGGCCTTCCCAGAGGTGGGCGATGAAGAGCTGCCCACCGTCGTGTGGTCCTGTGAGAGTGTTTCTGGCTTAGGACTCCTCTGCAGGTGAAGTATGAAAGCCAGAAGAAGGTTTTGCAGACACTGGCATCTCATCTTGAGGAGCTGGGCATAGATGCGCAGAAACCTGATGGACTCTGCTGTCCTCTGCAGCCTGTAGTCCCTTCGGTGAGTATCCTGTGGGAGTGCTGTCCACTCTGAGCCACTAACAGTCTTTAACTCAACTCTTGAAGAGTCTCATAGTGGGGATCACTTGGTTGCAGAGAATATGTCTGTGGCAGCCCTTGCTAGCTTCTGCTTTGCAGCCTGTGACCGCCGGAGAGTGAAACGAGCCCAGTGATTAGGAACACTTTTTATGCCCAAGCCTTCCGTGATATATCTGTCACCATTCTGTCACAGAGAGCCATTTCTTCTTCCCAAGGGGGCGTACTAGGGGTCTCATGCACAAGCTTCGTTTCTGTGTTTTGCACATTCAAGTGTATCTTCCTGTGTTGCCAACAGAACAACCAAGCTGGGTTTTGGCTTCCATTACTCTTTCTTTTAATCCAAGGCTTTACTTTTCCTTCTTTTCTCCCTCAGCCCGTCGTTAATGGCTACCGAAACAAATCTACTTTCTCTGTGAACCGAGGACCAGATGGGAACCCCAAAACCGTGGGGTTGTATGTGGGAACTGGCAAAGGTCAGTGCAGGACAAGGAGCTGGGTAGAAAGCTGCTGGCATGGGCTCAGTTGGGGTGAGGCTCTGCTGTGCCAGTCTCCACCCGAGTTAGAAGGCTGAATCCTGCGGGATGCCAACAGAAACACCACAAAGTCCAGGGCAGCAATTTTAAAACCTCAGTGCATTAGTTTCTTAAGAAACACCAGCTTCTAATTTGCTAAATACAGCAGTAAGGATGACAGCTGTGGAGGCAGCCCCTCCAGAATTTAGCTTTGTTATTCTTAATTACACTGTTTCTGTGGTTTTGGCATGCTCCAGGAGCTGAGCAGGGAGAGCATGGTGGGGGTGTGCACATCCATAGGCAGCGGAGTAATGTTGGAGCGTCTGGGACGTGTGAGGCGGTTTGGTTTTGTGCAACAAAGATGTGAGCTGTGTGCTCCTTGCAGGCTGCTCAGTGGTGAACTCGTTCCCACCATCAATACTAGGTTTTGCTTCTCAACATCCACAGCAAGAGGCGCTGTGTTCTTTTCTCATTGAAAAAATAATTCCATGGATGCACTTTACCAGCTTGCTCTGCTCTGGCTCCCTTAGCTTAAGAACAGTGCAGTGGCTCCTTTGGGAGTTGCTAGAGGACATTTAAAAAGCTCCCGGAGCTCCAACCTCTTAATGGAAGTTAGTGACAGTAATCACTGGCAAATGGAATTCTGGCAGGTCCTGCAGCCTGGGGGTATCCAGAACGTCACAGGGTTTAGTGGGGCACTTACATAATAGTTTGTTGGGGTTTTTTCTGCTTTTTGTTTTTTTTGGTACAGTGGGAGAATTCATGGAAAGGCCTCTCCACAGTTTATCATGTCAGATGCTACAGTGGTTTAGGTGCCCTGAAACAACAGTTAAATACCTGTCTGTTTCTCTCCAGCAAGAAATATTGTCTGTGTGAAAGCCAACCACATGGAGAACATACCCCCAAAACACAAACAAGTAGCGCAGGTAAATAAATAAGTCTGTCTCTAGACTGTGGAATAGAGGGACTGCCATAACTCTTATTTGGGAGAACATTGTAATTTTGGTTACACTGGGTTTTGAAGTCCTTTTTCATGTTCTGAAAAGTTTCAGGGCTGACTCTGGTTGATGGATAAATATTTTTTTTTTAAACTTGCCTGTTATTGTTGCAGTCTCAAAACTGTCCCAAAGAGTGAAGTTAAACAAGTGACAATGAATTCCTGCCAATCTGTTACAATATGTAAGAATCACAAATTGCAATTATTTAAGTGTCTTGTCTTCCAAGAACTTGGAAAGAGCTTTCACTCAGTGTATTGAAACCAAACAGAAAAAACAGATGATACTGGTGGAAGGGCCACACAGTTGGGGTGCACAGAATTATGCTGAGACCGGGGCAGTTGTCTTTGCTGTCTCCTACAATGGCTGTTTCGCCTCCACTCAGTGCTATGAGGAGTTCATCCGTCGCTCCCCACTGGACCCCTGCATCCTTTTCCACGAAGGTGGACACTGGCGGGAGCTCGTGGTACGTACCACCAGCCGTGGTCACACCATGGCTATCATCACCTTCCACCCCCAGGAGCTGGGCCAGGTGAGTACGTGGAGGACGGGGCGCCTGGCAAGAGGCATATCAGGCATCGGGCTGACCTGAGCTCGCTGGGTGTATCGCTGGGGAGAGGTGGCTAATCAGATTACCCAAACAGCCAGGTTTTCCTTTCTCGCTCTTGACAGGAGGCACTGGCTACTCAGAAAGCATTGCTTAAGGAGTTCTTCACGTGTGGACCTGGAACAGTCTGTGCCTTGACTTCACTTTATTTCCAAGAGAGGTACACGTCTTGATGCAGG